CCCCAAAACCCCAAAACCCCAAAACCCCATAATGCTGAGATAAGTTAAAATATGTTTGCTAAGAATTCAAAGTAATTAATTCAATTACAACATGCAGTGATGATGAAGAGGACTTAAGGTTATCCTACGTCATCATCATAATCTTTTCAGTTTAAATTTAAGATAAAAGATTTTTACTTTAATTGCACAATACTTAAAGACAAAAAGTCTCAAGTTTGAGCAAAAAGTGATTAATATCTCACCGTGATCTATTTGAATACTGATTATCTCCACTGTTGTCAAACTCTTTCTGCTCTTCCTCTATCTCAATCATGTTGTTGTCTCTTCCACCGTGATCGAGTACAAACTTGGAGTTATCATTATCTTTGCTAGGATTAATGGAAGAATTGTTTCTACCTTCTCCGAGTTTTGAGGGTGAAGCGGCATTTCTTGACTTGCTTCTTTGTCCAAGACTGAACGCTCTTTCATTTTACTCTTATTTTTGTATTTCAAGTTCCTTTTGGTATTCTATTTCTCTGATTTTATCCTTTCTATTCTTCCACCATTGAGAAACATACCAAATGAATATCTTCTCATAGAAGAAGGTACAGCATCCATTGACAAAGGCAATACAGAGAACTGATAATCTAAATTTAAGGTCGATTTCATGTTTAATTTAGAATGCAGAATGAATCCATTCCTCGTCTGAAACTGTTAAATACACATTAAACAAGGAAAGAACAACCAAGCTGATAGTAAACCAGAGATTGGTGTACAAGGGCTATCTGAAAGGTTTGCTGATGCTAAAAGCTAAGCAAACTACTATATATTAGTAGAGTGAAATCATGAACATTGAACTATTTTCAAAGCATTCGGTATTCTCATCTCCACTTCTGGGATCGAATGTATCTGGTTTCTTGTAGAAAGACCACCATCTCACATAGAAGAACATAAATACTTAGAAAGCAAGTTGTATTAAAATAGATCCAAGTACTGATGTCAACACTGGTAAACTAATCAAAGCACCAGATGGAAGATGAGGTGTAAGATGTCTATATGGCTCAGTCTATCCCATAAACATTGATAATGGGACAAGAAGGGCTAGATCAATATACAAGAATTAGTAATCAGCCAAGTTAGAACCAAAGGTATAGAGCATAGTTACTGTTATGAATTGGATCATGGAATAGAGTTCTATGAATTTGAACATTTAGAAAGATGTAGTCAATGCACATCTTCCCTCTCTAAGTACTATTACTACACTAGAAATGTCTTAAATTTATGAAGTAAAGGGTGCTGCAATAGAAGCCTCAGCTTCAGAGAGTGAAATTCCAATATCAGCTTATTTCAGGGCTCCGCAATCGTTTGCTCCATCTCCACACATACCTACCTCAGTCTTGCAGTATTGCTGGAGTTATTCCACTAATTTTGCCTTGTCATCTGGAGACATTCTAGCATAAATTTGTGCCTTGAAAAGCACTTGCTTTAAGACCTTTTCTTGTTCTGGGTCATTCAATAAATTATTGAAGGCTTTGCCTGTAAGAGCTAAAGAGTACTCTTCTGGTTAGTGCTACCAAGGGAAATCATCTAGACTGACTAGATCATTGACAGATCTTCTATCTTCATCTCTTGATGAATCTAGAATCTTAGAATCTCTCATGAAGCCTGGTCTAGTTTTTTCATCATTAAAGAATTCTTGATTTGGTACTAAGGTGTTTGGCTGAAGCACGTGCTTCTCATTTTTGGTACTCTTCCAAAATACCACCTCCTTATTTCCTTCTTTTCTAATATCACCTAAGAATACTTCGGATGTTGAGTCAATAATATTGCACTCTCTTCCAACTGATATTGCTGTCAACACGTTATCTCCTGTTGCCATGATAGTCCTGATGTTAGCTTCGTTGAGTGTTGAGATGATGTTGATACTCACATTCTTTAACTTGTTTTGCATAATCAAGAAACCAAGGAACTCAAGATCATCCTCAATTTCATCTCTATTAATTTTTTGAGCCTTTAAAAAGCTGATATTAAGTGGTTTAGTGGCCATTGCAAGCACTCTATAACCACACTCAGTATAAATATTAAGGACTTCATCAAAGTTAGAAGGGAGCGATGAAGGTTTACAAAGTTCTCTAATTTTCTCTGGAGAACCCTTAACATAAGATCTAAATGTAGAGTCAAGGAAATTCTTCACTATTACGCTCATCCTCTAGAGTTTGGATGAAAAATCAAATCTTCTGATTAAAGCTAGTTAATATCCTGGTCTGGCACTAGAAACACTTCCCATATCACTAATAGAAAGGAGGGAATCTGCTCTTGGATTTTTGTATTCAGGGTTTGATGTTGGAGGCCTGACATAAGCCAAAACAAGTTCATCAGCTGCACCCTCTTCTAATTGTTCCTCAAGTATCCATTCAGTAGCTTAGAACATTTTCACATCAAGAGGATCTCCAATAAGATTGTTGTTTACATAAGTAATAGAATGGCATGTAGCTAAGGATTCTAAAAATAAACTTTAAGGATCATCTCTTAATTCCTCTCTATCTAGTTTATCTAGCCACCACTATCTGTTTGGCTGATATGTCTTACACTCTGGATTAAAATCTGAAAATATCCTTTAATTTTCATTTTTTACAATAGCCTTGTTTATTCCTCTAAATCCAAATACCTAAAGTCCATCCTCTGTTAAAGTTCCTGTTTTGTCAAATACCATCAAATTTACTCTACCACTCACATTTATTCTTGGAGGAGAAATACAATAAATCTTCTTCTTTTTAAGTCTATTTATGGCGAATACTGTTCCTACTGTCATTGCAGCTGGAAGAGCAGGAGGTACTGTAATAGTTAAAAGATCAAGAGATCTGTCCACAATGGCAGCTGGATCGTATCCTTAGTCAAGCATAAAGGGTAATGTTGCAAGAAAACCTATAATGGCTAACAATCCCATGCTAAAAATAAACTTAAGAGAGTCTTGATAGAATTTGAACTTATTTGGCTTAGGATATAAGATGTCTCTAACTAAATTTCCTTTAGTAGTAACAAAAGCAGTTCTAATGACTAAACCTAAAACTTTAGATTGACCAAATCTTCTGGTTTAAATAACCTAAGTACCTCCATAAATTGTGTATTTTGAATCATTAGTAGGGTCATAAATATCATTAGTAAATGGTAAAGCATTCTTGATCACAGGAATACTTTCGCCAGTTAGCATACTCTCGTTAACAATACAAGATCCAGTAAGCAGAATCAAATCACAAGGCATAGATGTCATTTCAGGGATCTCAATAACATCTCCTGGGACAAGTTCAGCGCTATCTACTTTCTTCAGATTATTCTCTTCTCCCTCTCTCATTACGTTGATCTCACAACTGTACTAAGCCATTTTACGAATGCTAGATAAGTTTCTCTTAGTTTCTACAAGAGAAGTAGTAGCTGATATAACGGAAAGCACTAAAATACAAGTAGCGTACGCTCTATATCCATCCCAAAACCAGAGTGCCATACTAAAGACCTGGAAGAGATAAAAGGGGTTAAGAACCTCTTGAATCAAAAGTGCAGGAATACTCTTAATCGGAACTTCAATCAAGCATTTTCCATACTTGATAATTTGCATCAAATAATCAGCTTTTGATGTAATGCCCTGACTATATTTGCTTTGAATGCTCTAAAAGGGAATTTTGCAGTCAAAGATTATAGGCTTGAACATATCATTAACATGATCAAATTGGAATTTGATGAACCTGTATTCGAACATCTATTTATAGATTAATATGAGAAACTAATTATTAGTACCAAGAAGGGGTTTTAATCATAAGCTTAACGATCACTTTGATCGAGGAATGCTGTCAACTCATTATTCTTATTATCAAGGTTCACTATCTCCATATGACCCACTATGAAAGTTGAGTTGAATGAAATAAAATGGATATGCTGAAGTTATAATAATTTCTAGGATATAAATCAATCATAATATTTATTAAATTTATTCCGTAAAAGCTCTAAATTATCACTGACTTAAAATCGTGATGGTTTCTGATTTACTTACAAGTTCCCATGATAAAGAGGTGAGTTGCTCTGCTAAGTTCGCATTCTGAATAAAAGAACACCTTTCTCAGTTTAGGGTACCAATATAGAAATAGTAAAAAGAAGAAAGCTGTGCAGAGAGCAAGAATTGGTACGATAACGTAGGCCTTGAAAAAGGAAAATTAAAGGCAGATAATTTTGATTATCCTAGTTGCCTCTTCATTATCATCGAAGTTCATGTATCTCACCTCATGCACTGACTAATTATGTGAGTGTTTTCTTTCAATATTTTTGGTAATAAAGGGCTGATTCTGAAGATTGCCTTCTGGATCATTCATTTCATGCTCATCTGGCATGTACTGTCTCTTATTATCAAGCATATTTTATAATATATATTTGAGTTCAACTGTAATTTATAATAAATTGCACGATGCCAAGAATCTTCCCTCACGGGGTTTTGGGGTTTTGGGGTTTTGGGG